CTGTGTTTCGATCTACACAGAGATTTCTCCGCAATCTTTCTAAATTTAAGCGTTAAATCCGGTTAAATCATTAGCGATTTTAATGTTCTTGATGCTATTTTCTTGCCATTTCTCTCTTTCGCATTTGCGAATATTATAATGAAGGGCTCGCCTTGCAACAAGCGAATCCCACGTGCGAACCCGAATTGGACCACTTTGCGGTCATGGCCGTTCATAGTAACGCCAGTGCCAGTGCCATTATCAGGGATTGCATAATTCGAGAAATCGGACGATCATTATTTCGACCGATATTTTGATTGAGCGCCCTTAGGTAAAGGATTTGCATTCGCTTCGCATTACGACAATGAATTATGTTGGATTCTCCGACGTAATTGAATTTATATAGAACCACTTGCGTATAATAATGCCACATAATTTCGTTACTAGATCACATTTTTTAGCAACGCTCTTATTTTCAATCTATATAATTGATCTATTTTAATTTTCCAATTGTTATGCCCCTTTCTGCTTTCTAGCTCTTCTCTCTCTCTCTCTCTCTCTTTCTTTTTAATATAATCCCCCTTATAATTATACTAATTATGTAAACGCTACATACGCGGTATTTTCGTCCATGACTTATAATCTTTTGACCTATCGTTATATTAAGAATATTCCGATTGCTCGTTAAAAGTTTAATATTCGTGACTTGTAGTTACGCCAACTGCTTGATCGATTGCCGCATAATGGTATAAATCGGTTGTTATTGCGCAATACATCAACAAAATCAGCATCTTAAATACAACTTTCTCAGATCTTAGTGCGCTCATCACGCGTTCGTCGAAAGCTCCTCCGAGATTTTCGCGAAAACAAATAACAAACATGCAGAAATATCTGTTATCGAGCAATATTTAACAAAGAACGGATTTTTCAAATTAACGAGACCAATTTTCACGAGAATAAAAAACGAAAATAAACGAGCACGTTGAGATAGAGCGGTATATCAGCCGATTTGCTGAAAAACTACTTTATTACACCCCGGGCGCGTGCTCGCGATATGTGTCGGTATTTCGTATATGAGCACAGATTGAATATCGTATCAAATATCGCGTAATTCTAACGGCGTTCATGATCAACGACTTTCGACGGAGAAGCCGAGGCTACAATGTCGCGATGAGCTCAGCCAAATGACGAGTAATCAGCGTTTAACTTCGTTCAGCACGTACATACAGGTAGAGACGGTATTCTCGGTCTATATCGAGTAATTTGGCTCAAGTACAATTTCGTTGCCGTAACTACCGCGAACCGTATATATTACGGCGCGAAAGCGATCCGGTTCTCTGCCGCAAATTTAATCCGAGATTTATGCTACCCTGTTGTGAGGGAATAAAGCTTTTTATCGTATGACCGTATTTTTATTATTCGTAACCAGACGCGCTCGGCAGAGTGATAAAATGCGCCCGTTTCACGGCGCTTCTTTTGCGTATCTCTCTCGAAAATAGTTCCCCGACGGATACTTTTCGCTTAGAGTTACTGACGGCGGATACGTATTACGTCAGATAACATTGAGCTCCATTAAGATTTGCCCGCAGTGTGCATACAGGATATATTATAAAGATAAATATAAAACACAGTAACAAGAAGAGAAGTTCGCTATACTCGGAAATAAAAAATGCTGATAAGAACTTCAGCACTATTTGTACATGTATTAGGACTTTGAAATATTCAACACGTAAAAATTAATTGATATGGAGAATTAATATCTTCGACTTTTTGATATTTTTGTGAGAAACGACGATAAAAATCGGTACATTATTGGGAAATAATTATTTGCATGCAGAAATAACAAAGAACTTTGTAGATATATTTATAATATGCATCATAGTGGAAGAATACGAATTTATGGTAATAGTTTGCAAGGCAAATATTGAAAATAGCAAGCGATGCGCTTTAAAAGAAAGCATTTATAAAAATAAGCAGATTCTGACCGCATTGATGCGGATACTTCCATAAATTTTCTTCGGCCGTAATTAGCGCGGATAATGAAATTTGATTGGACTGTTTTCCGCAAACACCGTAATAAATGACTTTGTTATCTTCTTTCGCAACGTCGACATAATTACGTCTTTCACGCGTGCTGACTTTAATAAAGTTTTATATTTTTCGATCAGTTTTATTAATGTACAGATTATTTCAGTTTCAAGGAGAGAGATTGATTTTCTTCTGCTGAAATGCGTTTTGCTTTTCACCCGATCTCCGAATTAATTAAAAGATAAATTTATCGTCTTTGAAACTATGACAATTGTTTGGCTTAATTCAAGTTATCCAGTTATATTTTTGAGATGTCATATGGAAATCGAGCATTATTGCAAAATAAATTTATGTAATTCATTGCAAATAAATTTAATTTAGTTTTCTTTCTTCTTTTTATTGGGGTCTCAATGATATGTAGACTTAATAACTTTTCCTTAGAATATCTTGTTGCCACTTCATATTAATGCTACCGTACAAAGTATGTAAATTTATCCAGCGTTATCATCTAATATTTCTTGATACTTTATACTACTGTTTAGTGTGGAGGAAAGAGCTCAAAATTCCAAAATTTTATTTAAAAAACATTCACGGTAACGTTAGGTGGACAAGTATGAATATTTATTTACGTGATCTTTTTTGTGGTGCATATTCATTGAATTTATTTATAGGATTGTATTTATTTGTCAAATAAATATTCACTTCAATTTTGTGTTTTCGTAAAAAATACCACGTAATATCTCAAATGCATTTTGCGTATTTTGCAAGCATTTGTCTGTTGATGAAATTTAATCAAAAGCCGAGCGAGAGAGAAAGAGAGAGCACGGCGAAAGTTTGAACATTTCCGACCACTGATTCGTCGATTGCTGATCCACGGGCTTGAACTTTTCAACTGCCGACCGTGAGAACTTACGCAACTTCTGCGATTTGCGGAATCGAATTAACGTTAAACAGAATTTCGCAGTGCGTCAAATCTCGAAATGGTTTCGCGACGGGTTTTGGTTTGGCTGTAAGTTCCAAGTTGCCGCCGGCTGTTAATTATCGTACGAGTACAAGAAACCGCAGAGTCTTGCTCTCTCTCCTCCCTAGTGTAATGCACCGCACCGCTTCGGGGATGCATATGCAGAAACGTGCGTGCGTATTGCGAATTCACGCGGGGGGGACAAAACGGACGAACGGGAATCCCTGTGGGTGGCATAACAGGCTTTTGTTGACGATAGCGGCGGGCGGGGATTACAAATCCTCTTTGCACCAGACATGATTTCATAAGTAACTCATAGTATATAGCTGCATGGTAGTAATCTGCGCGCTAACATTATTCGCCGCCGTGTATATCGTGGAATACGTAATACCGTGGTCCGCTATGTCAATTAGCTACTTTGATCCTTTGAGCTCCGACGTGTGTGTTAAAAGTGACGCGATTGACGTTACCGCGATTAATAGTCTCTCGGATATCCCGCAAAATTGCTGCAGTACAGAAATGTCGCTTTATATAAGAATCATTTAAATAATAATGATTATCTACGTTTAGATTTTTAGATTTTCGTGTGTTAAAAATTTTGCAATTTATACTTGGAAAGAGTGTCTCAATATAATTACAATTGTCACGATTTGTTTAGAGAAAATGCTGAATGTATAAATAAATTTCTTTCTGCTTAAGCGATAGAAATTTATTTAAAGCAAATATAGCTGTTTAATCATTATTATTAAAAGTGTTCTATTGGAAGTATTATTTTATGAAATATCTAGATAATACAATTGTCTTGTCAGACAAATATGCTGTACAAACCATATCATTCTTTCTTAGAATCTTTACAAGCCACTCTCCGCAATAGCTATTACGTTTGGTTTACTCGGTTCACCCCGTTTACTTCGTCATACTTAAAAATTAATCGTCGACAAACGATTACACCGTTGCTTGCTCTGTTACGAAGTATCTATAGAAGTTCGGGCAAAGTGCAAAAGCGTGCTGGAAATAATCTCAAACTCTTTCTCTTCTTTACTTATCGCGCTGCGTTGTACACTGTGACGCGAATTTTTTGCAGTTACGCGAGTAGTTCGTCGCTGATGGCTAATGTCTATCAGTATTGCGCAGCTGAGGCTCAAACTTGTCTGTAAGAAAGGTAAAATCAATCGATTCCGCGCACGTGTACGTCCCGGGGGAGAGCGCAAACCGATATCCAGGAGATGCCTGCCGGGGCTCTCTTGAGCGAATTGACCACTCCGTTGGATCGCTTGGGGACCAGGTGAGAAAAGGTCAAGAAATCGGTGGGCTACTTCCGCGAAAACCTCGAAGCGACGATATAGCGGTGAATTTCTAATACAGCGAAAGACCTTGGCGCATCGAATAACAATATTCTTCTTTTATTTAACAAAAGATATATGGGAATCGAGAATTTGGGACACTCTCATTAAAGAAGTATTATATTGTTTATGTAGTGTCGCTGAAACTGTCTCTGAGACTTTTGCGATTTATTTTTATATACTTTGTTCTACATCGGACTGTAATTTAAAATATTGCTGTAGTAGTGCAATTACAGTAATGCTATTAAAATTAATATTAATACGATAGCGCCAGTTGTTGCGATTAACACACGTATGTAATTATCTGTACACTGAGAAAAAAATGTTCTGGATTTTAATAAATATTAGTTTGCATACAACTGTGACTCTCCA